TCAGTTTTGCTTCAGTATATTCACTGAACGATCAACATTCCTGATTATATAATTGAGGAAAACGCCTTGTTTTTAATGATATGAATAACGATAATAGTGTAGTGAATTCTCATAATGCATTTAATTACTAAGAGTGGCCAAGAGATTCAGAAAAAAATATATTAAGATACACTTTTACATGTACATAAAATGATAATCTCTTTGCCAAAATTTTACTGCCTGATCAAAATGCATTAAACTAACTTTCCAGGCAATTTTAAGACACTTATGCAGATAACAAAAATAATCTCAGGAAATTATCACTGTGGAATCTTCCTGCCCGTGAAATAGAACGACAAACTGATAATTAGAATTAAAATAAATTAACTGATAAAATAAATGCATATGATTATCTTTTTAAGCTTCAGAAAATAAAGCGAAAATGAAAACTGCTTTAATATGCGTGTAAACAGATCAATACCTGATATCAAAGGAAGATATTAGCATATTCAGATCCAGATGCACAATCCATTATAATACCATTAATATTCTAGTTTATCAGAGAAGAAAAGGCACAGAAATTGAAGACGAAAGACTTTTTTTTTTGTAGTTATAATATGAACTACATATTCATTCACGCAACAATATATTTAAAGCAACAAACAAAAGAAAAACACAATACCACATATATGTTCCCCTGCGACTGATTCACATACGTTGGACTATAGTTAACAGTCCTTCCCAAATACACAATATTTTGCATTCCAGTTCATTTTGAATTCAGATCAGGATAAGATTCATTTGTTAGGATCTAAGTTGCAGGGTCGAGTCAAGAAGTTTATGTGCTCACTGATCCACTTGTTGGCAACTGAAAGGATAGGCAAACGAGTGGTCATTTATAAAAATAATAGAGATGGATGGATAGATAGATAGATAGATAGATAGATAGATAGATAGATAGATAGATAGATAGATAGATAGATAGATAGATAGAGATAGATAGATAGATAGATAGATAGATAGATAGATAGATAGATAGAGATAGATAGATAGATAGATAAATAGATAGATAGATAAATAGATAGATAGATAGATAGATAGATAGATAGATAGACAGATAGATAGATAATAGATAAATAAATAGATGGATGAATGGATTGATGGGTAGTTTCATTGGATAATGACAAAGAGATAGGCATTCCCATAAATGAACATACAAATATTTGAAGTCCTCTTAAAGAAATCTAGCTCTAGTGCGAGTTTAACTTTTGTAGTCAAAAAGCGTTTCACATGGCTATAAAGTGGCTAAGGCTTTAATCCTAGTATTCAAAAGATAACAACAGACCTTCTTAACAATGGCTCTAGAGACAGCATTCTTGGTCACCACACACAGGCAGATTCAACAGGTTTCAGTTAAAGTGTTAATGAAAAAAAGAAGAAATTAATAATAAAAAAATAACAAAATTAAAATTTTTCTCTTCCTTGACTCACCCCACTTGTGTCCTAAAATCACTGGACATCCTCCATGTTGAGACCGCCAGTTGCAGTCTCCATTCTCCTTCAGATTATACCACATGACTGCCGCTCCTTTGACGGGCGCTACGGAGATCCTTGCCTTCGGAAAGGCTGTCCACCCACCGGCTTCCACGTCAGAGAGCTAGTACGGAGAAAATGGAAATACTAAAATTGCAAAAACTTGTATACTATATACTTGTTTTGCAGTGCATTTTATACTTTTTTTTCTATTTTATCTTCTGATTTGGAGGGAATTTTGAATTAAAGAGTTATCTATATGATGTTAGATCCTGATTTAAGAGTAAAATTGAAATTGGATTACAACAAGCTATAAATTATCAATCATCACTCAAAAAGAAGAAAACAAAGAAAAATATCAAAAGGACAAAGGCAGCACATGCAAAATATGTGCAAAAAGGAAACAAATGATTCATTTACATAGAACATCCAGGTGGCCAATCGTTCCCCGCTTATCAGAGTGCCCTTGTCGGCTTTCGTCGTGTTCCACTGTTGAGGAAAGACCAGTTAGGACCGAACAGATTTTATTAGAATATCAAAGGCCTATTACATTTGTATGTTTGTGTGCATGGTCATTTAAAATCTTTGACACCCAGTTTTTTTTCTGAAAATAAATGGTCTGCAGTTACAAAATCAATAGATTTTTTTTCAGATATATTGATTTGAAGCATAAAACGGCACTTGTTTAAGATGATTCGACCCCTATCACAATCCAAGAAGACCAGCTTACAGAGCATTGCCTAAAGGACGAGAACTCGTTTCAGGAAACCCAGAAATACGGCAGTGATCTTTCACTTTCGTCTTTAGTTTTTTCTTTCTCTTTTTTCGAAGATCCTCTTATTCACCATTCACTTCTCATATGGGACCGTATCCAGATTGTACACCGATAGGGTAGTCTTTTAACAACGGGAGCTGCCTTGCCGAGATAGGGGGACTTGAGGTCCTTGTGAGCCGGACCAGAGGGCTACAAATTCTTTAGGGGTTACCAGTGAGGGATGAGACAAATTGGCTCCTAGGTGTACCAAGACCTATGAGAGGGGATGGTGCATCCATCCCAGATTCATTCCATCTTGGACCAGGGAGAACTCTCCCACACATGTGGTCTTATGAATGCCAACAAGCTGTCAGAGCAAGAAAAGCTGCATTAAGGCAGTTAAAACGACGCCTTAGCGATGTAACCTTGATCCATTATAAGAAGACCTGAGCCAAGGCCAGACAAGTGCTAAAGGAGGCTAGACGGACATCATGGAGACAGTATGTCTGCACAATTAACTTTGGGACCCTCTTACCATGGGTATGGAACAAGGTGCGTAAGATCGCTGAAAAGAGCACATCCATATCACCACCTGCTCTGAAGATAGATGGCATAATCCTCACAGGCAAAAGAGATGTTGTAAATGAGCTAGCTAAATCCATAGCAGAGATCTCCCCTGGAGCATCTTACACTTCCCGATTCTTCTGGCTGAACATTAACGACACCCTGTGTCATTTTTTAGTAGGACTGCAGCAGAACTTCCATACAACTTGCCAGTTTTATGCAAGGGGATGGACTCTGCTTTGCAGCTCTACCGTTAAGAAGTGATAATATTCCATACCAAATGATATCTCACATACCGGAGAGCTCCGAAAAGTTCCTATTGGATGGATTTAATAGGATCTATAGGGAGGGCACAGTGCCATCAATATTGAAAGAGGCTATAATCATTCCTGTCCCTAAACCTGGCAAGGATGCTTCCACACCAGGGAATTACATTTGCAAGCTGATGGAGACTTCAGGTTGACATGGTTGCTAGAAAAGGAAACGTGCTGACACATATATCTATACGGGTTTAGAAAATTGAGATCGACCATTGTAAAGGACGTTCCAAGTGCTGTCTTATGTAATGTGGATGACTTTACACTGTACTGCTCAAGAGGAAGCTTACAGGATGTTCAAGGACACATGCAGACTGCAGTTAATCAGGTTGTGCAGTGGGTAACATACCTTGGGTTCAAATTTTCTTCCAGCAAGACTTTGGCCATGCATTTCCACAAACGAGGAAAGCTCCATCCTTTCCTCTATTTAAATTTTCAATTTTCTCAGCAAGACTTTGGCCATGCATTTCCACAAACGAGGAAAGCTCCATCCTTTCCTCTATTTAGGAGCAAACCCACTGCATTTTGTCCAAGAAGTGAAGTACTTGGGTCAAATTCTTGACTCAAGGCTTACATGGGTGCCTCACATCAAACAGTTAAGGGTGAAAGCTATATAAGCGCATAGTATTTCGCGGGTTCTTTCACACCTATCTTGGGGTGCAGACCGCACAACGCTTCTGCGGTTTTACCGAGCACTTATTCTTGATGTGCTGTCATGTGCAGTCTGTATATGGATGACTTCACACTGCACTGCTCAGGAGGAACCTTACAGGATGTGCAAAGACACATGCAGACTGCAGTAAATCACTTCTCCCCTAATAAACAAGGTCATATTTACCTCGATTAATAAAAGAATGCATTTTTAGATGGGAATAAATACTACAATCTATATGAAAGTTAAAATTTGGCTACTTAAACTTTTCTTGCGCTTACCGCAAAGGTAATATCTCACAACTTGATTCTTCTTCATAGAAATAGATTGTAAAAAGATTCAATAACTACAGCAGTTTAAAACCCACATCAAAGCTAAAAAAAATTGTTCTTTAATGGATCAAAATTATATATTTTTTTGTATATTAAAACTATAAAGAAAATGTCAATAGCATAGTTAATTGATAATAGCCGGAGCGGAAAAAAAATCCAGTTTCATTCCTTCCTTGCCACAACATTCACTCCTCCCCTAATAAACAAAGTCACATTTACCTTGTTTAATTAAAGAATGCATTTCTAGATAGAAACCATTTATATCTGAATACACTTTATCCTGTAATGTTAGGGTTGAACAAATTAAGCAAATGAAAATGGGACAGCGCTCCCAGTTTTGACAATGGGGTAATTAATAAGCCTTATTATATATTAATACCGTAATTTAAAACTAATGAGATGGAAACTAGGAATGTCTTCTTTATGTGGCTAAGGTGTCGAGTTGGTTGGTCCCCGAAAGCTGGGGAAAAAAGTCATTCTTAATATATCATTTCCCGAGGTATGTCTTCCACACTCTTACTTCTATTAATTGTTAGAATTTGAGGTATTTAACAATTATGAGAAAGTATCTATTCAACATCACGCACATGGAAAGACAGAAGCAAGTAATGCTCCCTCACATTGCATAGTCTCATAGTCGGGGTTGATACCCTCTCAGTAGCCGAATAAATGGATTGTTTCACGTGTGTATTTATTTCAACTATAGCATGGGTTGAGAGGTTGGGGAAAATGCTGTATATGCTCCCATGTGTATATAATTATTAGTTGTACATATAATTAAAATTTCGAATGATCTTTAGGATTTACTGAGCTGTGAAGAGAGTGAGTTGGACAGAAAGGAAAACCAATGAGGAGTTCTAAAGGGAGGTCAGGAGAAAAGATGCTTAGAGAAAGTAACACAAAGAAAGGAAATATGGATTAGGTAGATGGTTAGGATTTGATTGAAGACAAAGAGAAGGAAAAGAATTGGAATGTTTCAGGTATGAACAGGAGGAACATAGGGCGAAGGGAAACGAAGGACAGAATAGAAGCTTAAGGAAAATAGAGATGTCGGATTGGACATTAGAAGATGCCAAACTGTTTATCATTAACAAATGTTCTGGGCATAACAACTAAGGAAGGGTATGTTTGACAATCAAACAAATGGGTACTAGGATAAAACTACGGGAGTTTTGGGGGATATCACAAAAAAACAATGGAATTACAAAGTTAATGATTTCCGAGTCTATAAAACCTACAATTGTATACACAGATAAACCTGTGCTTCTGTTATATGTATTGTATTCTTAGGTATGATTAAAATGCATATATAGTCATTCAGAGAGAAAACTTAGTAACCTAGTATGTACCCGGAACTTACTTGACTACGATGGTAGATTTTAAAGAAGTGGTCCATGTGGTACTGGTAGTGTCCACCGACGCCATAACTAAGAACCTGTGGCGAGATAGTCTTAACATAATGCTGTGTCATTTGCGTTTATTTTTGTTTTCTGTACATTTGTCATACTTATTATTATCAGTCCTTATCACCGATAAAGTAGTTAATGTCATAGCATGATTTTCTGTGTGTGTGTGCGTGTGTGTCTGCGCGTGCGTGTGCGTGCTCATATATATATATATATAGTGTGTAGTATATATATATATATATATATATATATATATATATATATATATATATATATATATATATATATATATATATATATATATGTATGTATATGTATATATACATATATATATACATATATATATATATACATATACATATGTATACATATATATTTATATATATATATATATATATATATATATATATATATATATATATATAATTTAGATATAATTAATTACAGCATATTTTTACTTTCTAGGCGTGTAAAACAACCTAAACATCGTTGATGAAGATCAGATACAACAAAATCAACAAAATTGAGACTGCAGTTTATACAAGTTCGCTTTGAAGTTGCGTCCGCCGCCGCTGGAACGTTCAATAACGGGAAACAATTATAAGTCTCTTTGTGAGTGTTTATCCATACGTTGTATGTGATTTAACGTAACATTTGATCTCTGTGAAGTAGGCCTATTGTTTAATTCTGTAAGGTGATGAATGTAGCGTGTCTTTGGATGTTTATAGACCCTTATTTTAATGTTTAGTTTGGCATATGTGTTCAGAATTATTAATAATGGCGCAGGAATCGATAAGAGGTTTCTGTGTAGTGTTCTGGCTCGGGTATGTTCACTTACTGAAGTTTCGGGAAGATCGAAACTCCTTTCAGTTACATACTCGACGAATTCTATTGGAATATATATATACATATATATGTGTGTATATATATATATATATATATATATATATATATATATATATATACATATATACATATATACATATACATACACATTTGCGTGTGTGTGTGTGCGTGTGTGTGTGTGTGTGTGTGTGTGTGTGTGTGTGTGTGTGTGTGTGTGTGTGTGTGTGTGTGTGTGTGTGTGCGTGTGTGTGCGTGTGTGTGGGGGGGGGGGTATGGGTGTGTGTGTGTGGGGGGGGGGGTTCGGAACTCATTCACACTCATTCTTAGTTGTTGTAGTTGTTCAGGATATCAGTAAAGATGTAATATCTGAATGAAAAATATCTTGGTTTGTGGAATCATTCATACCCATTCATAACTTTTCTGCAGTAGAGACAGTCACTTTCATTCACCTGTAGCTCTTCCCCGCCCCTGTTTTCGAAAGGTCCTTCGAACACGTGGAGTCCAGTGATGTGGGAGATCCTTCGATTGATCTCCGGCAGTGCTGGATGTGTAGAGTTGGCAAGCCATGCCGTCTGGGACACTCGGATTTCGCTCAACCTCTCCTTTGATAAGACGTGTGACCGAGCCAGCTGAAAGATGCAGCGTACTGTAATAAAACCCTTTCCTTGGGCGCGTGTGTGCGAGAGGGGCGTAGGCGTGCAACCCACCTTTGATTTGGCGGTGTCCTGAATAGCGCGTATCTCGGCATCAGAGAGGACGTCGTAGAACATGTACATCTCAGGGCTGTAGTGCAGCTCCTCATACTTGATAGGCTGGAGTGTAAGGTACGGACTCCCTCGCGAAGACACGTGGCAGTGCAATTGCGAGGCCTCCTCTGCCGTCTGCAACATCAGTTAGGTCATTTGAGAAGCACGATTATTCCGACGAATCTAATTCATTATCAGATACATTCTGACCTCGAAAAATGTCAAATCCTCATTTGATACTCGGTCCTTATTACGCATTTCGTTTGTCGACAGTGCCTGACAACTTGAGTAAAAGACATTTTATCAAGTTAGCGTTAATAAAAAAAAACATGAACTGCACCAGGTCTTCATGCAGAAACAAAGAACAATTAGAATAATACCTAATAGTAATGATTGTCTCGTAAGGGTTCATTGCTATTCAGACATTTGATCCTTCTTCTAGGGCATTCTACCGAACGCGAGCACACCAAGGAGAGTGGGAATAACTCAGGTTCAAAATTACAAGCACGTGTCCTTCACAAACTATGACGTGACACTAACGAAACGATAAAAAAGTGATATGTTCGTTATCAATTTTGGCGTTCCTGCCTGAAGAGAAATACCCTCCATCCGAAACGTTCCTGTTCTTATTGACATAGATTTTGTCACACTGAATTCCTAAACTGATTTATATCTCGGTACATATTAAAACTACAGGTTATGATTATTAAGAAAGAATCTCAGATGTAGCCCCTTTCAGTCAAATCAGATGCTTTTTAACCAGTATCTTAAGATGTTTAATTATTCTCCCATTCCATATATATATATACATATATATATATATATATATATATATATATATATATATATATATATATATATTATATATAATCTATACATACATATATATATATATATATATATATATATATATTTATATATATATATATATATTTATATATATATATATGATATACACATATATATAAATAAATATATATATATATATATATATATATATATATATATATATATATATATATGTATGTATATATATATATATATATATATATATATATATATATATATATGTATATATGTATATATGTATATATGTATATATATATATATATATATATATATATATATATATATATATATACACTGTTATCTAAACACACGAAGATTAAAAAACGAAGCACACATTCACACAAACAATCAAATACACACACGCACACAATCGCACGCACGCACACACACACAATCGCACGCACGCACACACACACAATCGCACGCAAATACACGTACCATCATAAGCTCTCCGCGACAGAGCTTCGCGTAGTCACCGTCCCAAGAGAGCTGGTCCTGACTCGTGGAGATCTTCGCCGGGAAATAATTGTGGTCATTCCTGAATGCGTCATCGTGCTAGGAAAACATGCGAATGGGAAGTGATTCATGATCACTGTTGTTGTCACTGATATTGTTTTTAGTGTAGATTTGGTATAGTTTTATTATTATCATCAGTAGTGCTATTTTTACTATGATTATTGATGCTGTTGTTATGATGATGATTTATCATTATCATTATCATCATTATCATCATCATATGACATCATCATCATCATTATCATTACAGAATTGCCCTTATTAACATAATTGTTATAATTGCTTGGAACTAGTAGAATAATTGTTATTTATGTAATTTACGTTATATTGTAATTATTTTTATCATCATATCAATGATAACTGCTATCATCAGTAAGGTTTCAAACATTTTTTTTCACATCCTAATAATCCGGTTTTATTTAGCTTTTGATTTGTTTTGTTTTTAATGTCACTGTATCAATAAAAGCAAAAGTGATATGTTTGTTTTGATCACCAATACTATTATCCTTCTTCTCATTTATCAATATTACTGCTGCTACTTTGTTTGTATGATTCAAATTACTATTATCTTCATTATCAGCATCTTCAGTTATTATAATACCTCTTATAATGATTTTATTCTTACCAATATTGCCATCGCAGTCATTATCATTATGCTATCAATCTCATCTTTATCATCACCATGCAAATCCATGTCAGTCATTTATACACACTGATCAGCCACCTACCATCCGGAGCACGGGTTCCATGAGCATAGAAATGTGTGCCTTCAAATCGAGGTCAGAGGTCATCCGCAAGCTGTGTCGGTACCACATCCAGGCAGAAGCTAGGTCATCGGAGGTATAGCAAGCGTTGGCAACCCTCAGAGAATCGAACACAGACAACCCTTCAGGGGAGGAAAAGAGAAGTGAAAGAAAGAAAAGTGTGAAATTTGGTAAAAGACATTTCTTCTTATTGTTATTGTCATTATTTCTTTCATTCAGTCTTACAAAGGCGAATAAGAAGGTTTTTTTATACGCTTCTCTATAATTCTTAGAGTTGTTTGTCTTGTCGAAAGATACATGACATAGGAAGGCACTGTCACCAGTAGATAATTGAATCCCGAGACAATTGTAATGTTAAAAAAATGGGACGCAAATTTTACTCTTTTTATTCCTTCTTGTTCTTGTTCTTCATTCCTTTCTTCCTAATCAACATTCCAAAACGAGATTATTGAGCAGACTTACTGACGGAGCTGAAAGTGTGGAGGAGGCGGCCTTGCACCAGATCTCTTATGTGCAGCTTATACACTTTCCGAAGTCGGGAGAGCGCGATGGCTGTGCCTCTGAGGTCGTTTTCTGTTGGCAAGACGGTGGTAATCTTGGCTGCCAACACTCTCCTCACCTCGACAAGAAACTCTGGAGGAGTACACGGACAAAGAGAGGATTTGTTGTTCCAGATGCTGAGTTTAACGTATGCTTTAGTTTATCCATGTTAAACCTACTTGGGCTGACCTGGGCTCGGGCA